CAAGGTTGATAAGTTTAGTGATCAAAATATCTGCAAGAACATTGTCAAAAGCACCTTTGATATCAATAAAAGCAGCAGCAACCGTCTCCCCGGCTTCAAAAGCAGCCAGAATATCCGAGGTGAGAATCGACAGATTGTCGAGACACGATTTAGAACTCCTAAATCCAAATTGAGAAGAAGGGAGCAGACCTTTAGACTCAAGTCACCACATTAATCGATTGTTTACCATTCGCTCAAAGGTTTTAAGAACGCAGAATGCCAAGGAGATTGGTCGCACCCCATTACCACCGCTTTTAGGAATGAAGAAAACTCCATATTTCCTCCATTCCCCAGGAAAGTTACCCGAGCTAAATATATAATTATATAACGAAAAAAGTTCTTGTTTGGCCGTTAATGGAAGTTCCTGACGAATTTTATAATCAATTAGGTCAAGACCAGGGCTGGACTTGGTCCTTACGAAAGCAAGAGAGTAGTCTAACTCATCAAAAGTAAAGGGTAAATCAAGAAAACTGTCACCAGTATTGGGAAAAGCAGGCTCCGGGGTTGGAACCCATAGCGGGCAGAGCGAAGAGATAGCCAACTTAACCTTTTCCACGTTGTTAGGATTACACTCATGGGTTTGATTAGATGCGTTCATTCTATTTTGAAAGTACTTGATCTTTCTCCATATATAAGAGGGATTGATAAACCTAGTCAGACCTGCACAGACTTGCCTGAAACTTTCCTGCTTAATTCTTTTGAGTTCGATTTTGACTGTAGCTTCAGCTTTTTTATATAAGAAGAAATTATCATAACTTCTATGCGCCTTGAATTTAAAAAGAGTCGCTTTCCGTAATCTGATCAGTTTGTCACATGTTGCGTTCCACCATACTGAAGCAGGATTGTATCTTTTTTTAAACTTATTAGGCTGAGAATCCCGATTACCAGTCTTTTTTTTTGCGAGAAGAGTCTAGGGAAGATTCAATTAAGTTTATAAATGAAGAATAACTGAACGGTTTGAAGTCATTAGAGCAAGGATCACCCTGGTCCTGTAAGATAGATACCTTATCCTCAACAGATTTAGAAAAGAGTTGCCAGTCAGTATTAACTGTGTGAAGTTTGGTCCTACTTCTAGGTTTTATACGTTTATCAATTTTAACATTTAGGGAAATAGAAATGGGGAAATGGTCACTGCCCCAAGGATCAGAGCTGACCTCCCATGTACTAGTTAGAAGGGATAAGTTATCACAAAAGGACAAGTCAATAGCGGATTCTGTTCTATACTGTCTTGAGCAGAAGGTCATCTGCCCCGTATTCAAGAGTTAGCCCTTGAGGATTCTAAAGCATCTACCATATGATTTCCTGCAGCACAACAAGAACTACTTCCCTAGTAACTGTGGTGGGTGTTAAAGTCACCAACAATGAGAAAGCGACCCTGAAATTAAGAAAAAAAACGACTCCACTCGGAGTCGTTGATTAAACAGCGTGGAGGTCTATAACAAGATATAATACATATACTATTCTTATCTTTGGTGAATAATTTAACAGCACATATTTCGAGTTTGTTATTGCAATTATATAGATTATTAATTATCCGATATTTAACACTATTTCTAATTAGAATGGCAACACCACCTCCCCTCTGATCACCCCTGTCATGTCTGACAACGTCAAACCCAGACAGATAAAGCTCATCCTGAGGTGTGAGCCATGTCTCAGATAAAGCTAAGATATCATCATCAACAGCTCTGTAAGAAAGTTCGCTCAACTTCTTCTTTATGCTTTGGCAATTCCATTATAATATTTTAATTGCGTGATCCATGATTGATAGAAGAGAGTTGACCAGTATTAGTACCCGAAGTTGTAGCAGCTAAATCCAGGTTAGGGTTTCCACTTGTAGTGAATGAAGAGCTTGAAGTATTTAATGATAAATCATATGTTGTTTTAATGGCAATATGAGTATTTATAGTTTTCATAATCCTAGAGATTAACAAATCCACATCAGAATCTTTATAAATCACATCTAGAATTTTTTCCCGCTTTTGCAGACGAGTGTTGTCCAGTTCAGAATCACCTTTTGGGAGTATCTGTCCTGATTGTAGGTTAAACATTTCTTTGACACTACTGATACCATAAGTACTAGGGCTAACCTTGGTTTTGCGGACTATATCAGAGTATTTGTTATTTAATTTAGAAGGTAGACTCGGGAAATCATGAGAAATCCCACTAGGATTCTCGATGAAGGAAGTAGAAATATTATCTAGTCTTTTAGATGCAGCAACAAACGATAAATTATCAATTGCCATAATTTTATGAATATTCTTGAGTCTAATGATTTCTGGACAATCACGATGAAAGGACTTATGATTGCCCTTACAGTTAATACATTTGGATATAACTCGACAGTCATCATCATGTCTATTGTCACCACAGTTCAGGCACCGTTCAATACTGTTACAAAATTTACTTATGTGGCCTAATTTACCACAATTGTAGCATTGTCTAATTAGACGAACATAAGGGTCAATGGAAATTCTTGTTTTCCAGAGATAGATGTATACATACCTATAGGTAAGTCTTTGGTCCTTAGGGCGACACGAACGGATTGAGTATCAACCCATTCTACTTTATCATTAATTGTGGATTTTTTCTTCAGTCTTGAAACTTCAGTAGCATAAGCTTTGGAATTCTGATTATCTAATTCAGTTAGAAGCTCCTCATCTTTAATGTCAGTAGGAATATTCCTAAGAATAGCCGAACGGTGGATTAAATTTCAAGGTACAAAAGTCCTAAGACCTCTATTGTTGAGATGAGGGTTTACTAGAGCCGAGTTTGCCTTATCCTTGGAGAAAAAGGTAGCTTCGAATACTTTATTTAAGAGTTTTTCTAATTTGTCGAATTTGATGGATACTGCAGTAAATTGCCTCGCAACTTCAGGAGGTAGAAGTGGTTTGAGCTTAGGATCCTCATTTAACCTTCTGATGTAAACAATGAACGGGCTTTGATCAGTCTTTTCGTATTTAAATGACACTTTATTATATTTAGTGTGAAGAGCAGTACTGGGTACACTCCTGTCACTATCCGTGATTCCTCCTTTACTTTTATTCATAACCATACTTATATCATTTCTATCATTGCAATTTTTAGTATTAACATTAGCATCGTTACTAATAGAAAATCTCTTAGTAGGACTAGACTTGCGACTTCTAATGCTTCCTACCTTTCTTTTCTTCTGTTTTGATTTAGGTTTCTTGATAACTTCTTCGAAATTCGTAGAATTGTAAGTAAAAGTTTCTTGGGCTGGGCTTGAGCATAACTCAAAATTTTGCATTTCGATGTCTAATACTTTGTCATTGTTAAAAAAAACACTTGAGATATTATTTCCTTAATCATCCGTATCAGTACCCATTATAACCTCAACTTCTGCCGTAAGGCAGGAGTGAGGTTAGAGAGAAAAAAGTTATTTATGCAACAAGAAAATGGTATAAATTGATTACAAGAGAGCAGAAAAAAACTCGGTGAAAATATAAACACACTTATTTTACTTGTAGTGCCATCTCTTTATTATTATAAAACTACTATCTGCTGCCTACTATTGCCTACCGTTTCGCCCGCGAAAATGGTGTGCTACAATTGGTGGAACTTAATTAGTGAATAATTGAAATTCTAATTATTTGAATTAATTTTTTCTTTGATATTTTGTTTAATTAACCTGTGTAGATTCGAATTTTTTTTTTGTCGGTAGTTAGGTCAGATACACCCTGGGGATACTTACATCTTGGGGATACTTACACCGAACCGAATGACAGACTTTACCGTAGCACTTTTGCTCCCGAACACCATCTTATGAAAATCTTACTGGATCTTGTTTTGCCGCTACGACATCATCTTCATCACGAGCATCACGTCCGACAGATGCTCCGTTTGTAGTGAATGTTGATGTACCAGGTGATTTTTGTGAAAGAACTCCATCTTTAAAAGAATTACCACTTGATCCTAAATCGTCAGCTGATTACACAGTTAATCAAGTAGCAGTGACGATAACAACTACAGCAGTAGCCTCAAGCACTGCAACGTCTATGGCATCTTTGCCGATGAATTTCGTTACTTCTGTAACTAGTGTAACAAGTCTCGAAGCAGGTTATCAAGGTGATGGAGAAAATTCAAGACCAGCAAGTCGTGGTCTTGATTTACCATTGGCTCTTGCTGCTAATTTACCTGTAAACTTGCCAGCATCTTGTCGGTTACAAGATCCAATGACTGATTCTGATTTTTGAAGTAAAAACTTCTTTAAGCGCGTTGAGCGTTTTGGTAGAGGGTAAAATCCTCGGTTCGCGTGACCGACATGCTAATGATAATATTGTTTCTATAGCTATGGAGAGCCAGACTAGCGCACGCGCAGTAGCCTGTGTACACGTATACACTAATACATCGACTATTTCTGACCGTATTATGTGCGCGTTGGACGTTTTTTTTGGATAGGTATAACGACCTAAATTTGCATAACTCACAAATTGCAGGTCCATTAACATTTTTATTTCTTATTTCAGTTACCATAAACCTATTGTATCTTTTTTAGAATACAATGAAATGATTAAACGAACAGATAATCTAAGTATTGTCGAAGTCAATGATGACAATGATGTAAGGTAAATGGCCCTATTATGACACAATTTTGATACTAGAATTTTAAAGGGGTCGTATAATAATGATATAAAAGTAAAAAATACCATTTGAATTGATAATATATGTGGCGCTACTCTTCAGAAATCAAAATCAATTATTTATACAGCGATTGACGTATTAAATTTATTTAAATACCTCAATATTTATAACGAACGCATGTACCTCTTATGAAACAGGTTTTTTTTACGTGTCCCGCTGTTCCAAACGAAGATGTCCCTTATATGAAACATCGATTAGGATTCACTGTACGTGATGTTTTTCGTCCTTAGTCTGTAATAAACTTTTGTAAATAGAATGAAAATAAAATTTTTTGTTATAATGGTTAATAAACTTGCTTAATTGATATGATGATTTACAAAAATAACTAAATAAGGTAATTTATTTGAATCATAAAATTCTTAAGGTCTCTAAACATTGAATTCTTAATAAGTTAATTTATTTAAAACATTAAATTCTTAAGGTTTTTCATTTTTTATTTTTAATTGTAATTCTTTAATTTTCTGTTGTAAATCTTTCTTTTGTTGTTCAATTTTCTTTTTTTCTTCTTGCAATTCTTTTTTTCTAGCTATTTTAGCCTCTTTTTCTTCCTTTATTTTTTCTTTCTTAAGCTCTGTCTCTAACCAACCATCTGATGTGCCTACACATGGCCGCTTTTCTTTTCCTGTTTTTTCAAATTTTGCTCTCCGTTTTTCCGGAAGATATTTTGTTGGAAGAGTAAAAGCTTTATTGAAAGCATCCTCCGTTTTGAAATTTATATCTAGATTTTTTAAATTTTTGCAGCTCTTAGAATCGCTATCAGTATCACCAATACGTTCAATAGCTGAAAAAATATACATTAATTAATCGTGAATCTAAAAATAGTTTACATGTGAAAGTATGTATAAGAATAATTTACCTTTTGGCTTAAAGTCGTCAGTTTTAACATGAAAGTTTGACTGTGATTCAACTTCTGGATTTTTTATTGCACTAGTGTGGTCAAAACTATTTCCTTGGTCTGAAAGTGAGTACAAATGTAATAATTTGTAACTATAATTTCATGTACTTTCTTAAACTAAAAATAATTTACCTGCTTTCTGTGGCTTATCATTACTGCCTTGAGATATTTCAGATTCAACTGAAGGATTTTCAGTTGAAACAATTTTTTCATTTTCTTCATTTAAAATAATTATTTCAAGGTCTTCAGGTACATTTAATTTTTCGATCTTTAAAAAATTTCCAGGATTTGACTCACTGATTGATATTTGTTCATTCGTAGTGTTCAATGTGTTATTGGGTAAGTCTTGCAGAATTTGTGCAGGGCTGAAGCAAATCATTTGAGGTAGTTCTGAAGGTAGTAATTCTTTTACGAAGCTGTAACTGTTGTTGGATAAATCTTCAAAAATTTTCTCAGAACTCGAACAATTTACAGGAGGTAACTCTGATACTAAGACAGGTTGATTTATTACTAATTCTTCATTTATCAGTTCCATATCACTTTCATTCAATAGACCATTTTCAGAATTATTTTTTTCACAGAGGAACTTTGCATTAAAAGTATATGTATGATTGATAACATTAATGTTTTCTAGTGAGTTCAAATCATTAACTAATTGATGAGACCTCCGAACTTCATTCCCAACTTGAGATTCTAATCTTAAAATTATTCATTTTATATGAAAATGTAAAAATAAAAAAATTTTAATATTGTGATTTAAGTGTAAATATATGTACATAAAAAATTGTAAGTATCAATAATTGTAAATAGTTTCAATTATAAATAATAAAAATTGTAAATAACTTGATTAATATTTTAAAGAACTAATGTAGAATATTTTACTATTTTCATAAATAAAGTGTATAATTAAAAATACAAAATAAAAGTTAAAGTGTAATACCCGATGCTTCTGTTTTGAGCTGCATCCAGTATTCAAAGAGTCCTGTAAATTTTAGTTCACCGGTCCATGATTGTGTTCTTTCACATTTAAGAAATTCGCCTAACAAATCAGGTTGTAATCTTTTTTCAAAGTTTGCAAGATCAGTAGTTGAACTTTAATCTATTTCTCTTGAAACAGTTTCTGAATTTGGTTGATTATGAGATTCGTTTTTTTTCTTTTTTTTTGTTTTGTCCAATATATTATAATCAGGTGCATCGGTAGTGCACAGTAATTGTTTGTACACGTATGATTTACTGTACAGTCAACTCAAATATATGTAGTGGTTATTAAGTTCTATTGATTATGTTAAGTGTTATTGTTGAATAAAAAACATCAAAACCTAGACAAATTGGTGTTTGTGAATCATTTTTTGGAACCTTCTAGCATCCAACCTTTGTTCTTATTCTGCTCTTAATTCACACAGTATTTGGTTCTTCGAGCCGGAGGAGAACGGCTTGGATGCATATTGAACAACTCTAGAAGGTTCTAGTGCTTAATAATTTTGTGAATATTTTGTGAAATGTTCTGTATAAATTGCTTGGAATTCAGTTAGACTCGAGTAACTTTCAGTGTTAGTGGGTAAACAACCTTACAGACAAAAGGTGTTCACGCATTCCAGTGCCCAGTGACACTCATCTTTATTATTGTGAGACAGTGCTGCTCATCTCACAACTTAAACAATTTCTTGAGACGCTTGGCGCGCAGTTTGGTTGTGTGAGAGTCAAGATAACCTTGACACAGGCGACCCCCTTGTATATAAACATAGTTATTAATTAGTGTAGTGTCCTTAGTGCAAGTTTAGTCACCTAAAATTATTATTAAGAGCTCGTAGACTCAGTTAATTAATTTGTGTGATTCTTTTGGTGTTGAGACTTTATTGAAAGCCCACCATTGGCATCAAGGTGACAACAGACAACTCTAGCAACATTTTGTGTGAATTTTCTTAGTGACAAGTGTAAGTTTAGTGATATTAGACAACTCACTCAACTGAACTATGGCAGACAAACGGTTAATTTCGCCTGCAAAATCGGACTACGTCGATGTAGCCGGAGACAATGAGTCAGTTGAAGGTATTAGTGAGACATTAGAGCAAGCGAGTGTAAGCCAAGCACCATCACCAGTTCCAGTCGACTCTCAGGCAGAAGGTACCAGTGGAACAACACTCAAAGTACCCGGAAAAGCAACAACATCACGTGACAGGTCAAAGTCACCACCTGCACTGGCAAACACCACATTATTTAAATTGACGTCTCAAATGTCCAGGTATGAGCAGCTTCAATTTATGCAGCAAGACGTGGCTGATCTTGTGCGACAGCCTGCTCTCGTCACAATGCCCATAATCGAGGCGAAACTATCACAACTCAACGACCTCTGGACATACTTTGTGGTGGAGCATGAGGCATTAGGAGTAGGGTGTCGGTTGACACTATTCAAACACCAGTATATGACCGACAGAGTGTATGAAAGTGCTTTACGGCTTCATTACCATATAGAGTCAACTCTCCATCGTGTTAAATCAGAGCTACACGAGAAAGACATCCAGAAGGCCATCGATGATTACAAAGCCTCTACACAGCAGACAACTCCAATCATATACAGACAGGCAACTCTCCCAGAGATCCCTCTCCCAACATTCGCAGGCGACTCATCAACGTGGACGCAGTTTCGGGACATGTTTACGTCCCTCGTTCACGATCGGGAAGATCTCAGGCCAGTAGCCAAACTACACTACCTGAAGGCCAACGTATCAGGTCCCCCACTTCAACTGATCCGTCATGCTGTAATGAATGATGATGGGTATGAGCCAGCATGGAATCAGCTCAAGGCCAGGTACGATGATCCAGAACAACTCATCTTTGCCCACATCAAGGACCTGTTCAGTGTGACCACACCATCATCAAAGTCAGCTGAACAACTCGACAACCTGGTGGGAGTAGTACGGCAAAACTTGGATGCCTTGAAGGCTCTCAATGTACCTACAGACGCTGCAAATTATTTTCTGGTGTACCTGGTGGCCAGTAAATTGGAGCAACCGCTACGTGAGGCGTGGGAACTCGAGCGAAGTAGGTCTCGCTCACCGACAACTCTTGACCGCCTACTCTCATTCATATCAACCAGGGCACGTGCAATGGAGTCAGCGCAGGAAGCAGCTCGGCACGCAAAACGGTGGCCTACCCCAGTAGTCACCAGAAAATCAAGAGCGCAACAGTCTACTCACCAGCAGACGACTCACCCACAGACAACTCGAGCCTCCAGGCATGCGGCGCAAAAACGACACGCAGACTACCCGTGTGATCAATGCAGCAGCCTAGATCACTACGTGGCTGACTGCGAAGCGTTCGCAGGACTCTCACAGCAAGAAAGGTACAAGCTGGTCCTCCCAGCACGGCTGTGCTTCAATTGCTTCGGCCACCACTCCATCCAGGTGTGCCAGTAAGAGAAACGATGCAGCACGTGCAATTTAAAGCACCATTCAATGATTCACACGCCCAGGACAGAATCTCTAAGGAAAAGAGGATATGGCCCTGGCCAAGAACCGCAGCCGACTCATAGCAGCCACCACCCATCAACCTCCCAGTGAGATGACGATGTGCCATTTCCACAGCCGACTCCAGATCACACCCATTCATCTAAGCAGACTTCTCACCAGGTAACTCATCATCATAGTCAACTCTCTGCAGTCAACTCTAATTATGTTTTAGTCAATTCTCCAAGTGGTGGTGTGACCACTCAACATGCAGACAACTCAATGATCACGGGTGATGAATCATGTCACTCTACATGCGCTAACAGGAGTAAAGAATGCTTCTCTGATGACTCGACGGAAAGGATGACCTTAGCATATGAGGTTTCGGCCTCAGGAGGGTTGAGGGTCCTGGAGGAAGAGTCAGAAGGTCTCGTTCGATCTCCTACAGCTGAAGAAAAGAGTCAAACTCACACTAGTCAAATCTCAGACGACTCACATGATTCAACAATCACCAAGAACACTACAGACAACTCAGATATCCATGGAAGACTCTCTTCAGCACTCAGGGCAGCAGAAGATCCATGCACTAACGAGTCTCCAGTTCAATCAGACAGCTCAGCAGTCTTACTCGTCACAGCCAATGCAGTATTACTCTCAAACTACTCTCAGCTTCCAGTAAGACTCCTGATAGACTCAGGGTCTGAGCTGACGTTCATCTCATCAAGTGTGGTAAAGACTTGTCATCTCCAACGTCGTCCATCAGTAATATCAGTGCTGGGAATTGGTAACGAACCAGCTGTACAAACTAGAGGAGTGACAACAGTGACACTTAGATCAACTCACACACAGGAGCAAGTTACAATTAATGCTCATATCCTCAAATGTGTCACTGGTACTTTACCAACCAGACAACTCAAGGAACTCAACTGGTCAGCTCTCAACTCTCTGCAACTTGCTGATCCGGACTACTCAACTCCAAGACACATTGACATCTTAATAGGAGCAGATTGTTATGGTCTGATTGTGAAAGCGGGCATCAAACAATGTCCGCAGTCATCTCTAATAGCCCAAGAGTCCATCTTTGGGTGGATGCTCATTGGAATGCCACAACCGACAAGATACTCAAGTCAGAGAACTCATCACGCAGCAAGGGTCAACTCATACCAGCAAGTATCTGATCTCTTGACAAAATTCTGGGTTCAAGAAGAAGTTCCAGAGACTTCAGCCAGCCAACTCAGCCCAGATGATCAATCTTGTGAAGATCATTATGTTACGACTCATTCAAGAGATCAAGATGGGAGATATATTGTGAGAATACCACTAAACGCATCACCATCTCTTCTAGGCAACTCATCAGCGAGAGCTCATCAGTGTTTACTACACATGATCAGACGACTCACAAAGAATGACTCATATGCACAACTCTATCACAACTTTATGCAAGAATACGAGTCACTGAACCACATGACACGAGCCAAGGCAAGTCCAATCAACTCTCCGGTGTATTATTTGCCTCATCATGGTGTCTTAAGAGAAGACAGTCTGACTACAAAACTTCGTGTAGTATTTAATGGCTCTAGTCCATCTTCTAGTGGTCTATCAGTGAACGATATTCGACATACTGGTGCCAAAGTCCAGAAAGACATTGCAGACGTACTCATTTGGATCAGACAGCATAAATTTGTGTTCACATCAGACATCACAAAGATGTACAGACAAATCAAGGTACATCAAGATGACTGGGATCTCCAGAGAATCCTGTGGGTGGACGAGCACTCCAAGATAATCCCATATCAACTCATAACGGTCACGTATGGTACCAGGTCAGCCCCATTTCTGGCTGTTCGTACAATGATCCAGCTAGTAAAGGATGAAGGTCATAAGTTCCCTCTAGCTGTTGATCCACTACTAAAAGGAAGATATGTGGACGATATTTTTGGAGGTGCTGACACCGTGAGTCAACTGATAGATATCTCAACCCAAGTCAGACAACTCTGCATGGCAGGTGGCTTCCCGTTAGCGAAATGGCACAGCAACTCACTTCAATTCCTTCAATCGATTACAGACAACTCATCAGAAGAGCAGATCCACTCATTTGAGAGCAGCAAAACGAAATTACTTAGGCTCTCGTGGATTCTAGCGAACGACTCATTCAAGTTCAACTCAAAACCTCCTCGTGAGAAGTCCAAGCTCACAAAGAGAATAATTTTATCAGAAACAGCACAACTCTACGATCCACTTGGATTTCTAGCACCCTTCATTGTCAGAGCAAAGATGTTGCTACAAGAAATCTGGCTAGATAAAATTTCCTGGGATGACCAAGCCCCAGATCACATCATCACCAAGTGGAACAGCTTCAGATCAGAACTCTCACATGTCTCAGACCTCTCAATTCCACGATGGTTACGGATTACTCAGAAATCGACCGTGGAACTTCATGGTTTTTCAGACGCCTCACAAGCAGCTATGGCAGCTGTTGTTTACATACGGACTACTCATCCAGATCATGGAACTTGTTCAACTATAGTCTGCTCAAAGTCTAAGGTTGCTCCATTGAAGAAGATGTCTATTCCCAGACTCGAACTCACCGCAGCATTGCTGCTTGCCAGACTAATCACTTATGTAAGGACCAACTTAGACATTCAGCCAACTCAACTCGTATGTTGGACAGACTCCTCAGTGACTTTGACCTGGATTTAGTCTCACTCATCCCGTTGGAAGGAGTTTGTAAGAAACAGAGTGTCAGCAATTCAAGATCTCACTCCAATCAGCGTTTGGAGGTTTGTACCTGGCAAACAAAATCCAGCGGATTGTGCTTCTCGAGGTATCAGCATATCCCAGCTTCGGAAGCACCCCCTGTGGTGGACAGGACCACAGTGGTTAACAGCAGACGAATCATTATGGCCAACTCAATCATCAGTGTACGATTCAAAAGCTCAGCAGGAAGAGCGGCCCGGGCTCACTTTAGTTACTCAGACAATTCAACATGATTATCATTGGGATATGATATACAGACATTCTCGGCTAATCAAATTGCTCAGAGTGACTGCAATTTGCTTCAGATTCAGCCAACTCCTCAGACGAGTACCGCAGTCATCTCTCACCTTCCCTCTTACGCCACAAGAATTAGAGAGAGCAAGGATTTTTTGGATAAAGGCAACTCAAGAATCGTACTTCTCACAGGAAATCAAGCAGATCAACTCAAATTCACTGCCCGTCTCACACCCCCTCGCACGATTGACAGCATTTATTGACACTCAAGGAGTCATACGTGTTGGAGGGAGGTTAGCAAATGCTAGCTTGGACCAAGAAGCAAAGCATCCTGCAATCCTACCACAGAAAACTCATTTTTCCAGACTAATCATTGTTGATGCTCATGAAAGAACATTGCACGGTGGGACGCAGGCAACTCTGAACCTCATACGATCATCGTACTGGATCATTGGCGGACGACTCCCAGTACGATCCTATATTTATCATTGTATGAAATGTGCTCGTTTACGTGGCGAACGAGCGAAGCAGTTAATGGGTCAATTGCCGTTATCAAGAATCACTCCAGCCCGACCATTTGCCGTCTGTGGTGTGGATTACGCTGGTCCCATCACGCTAAAGACTTGGAAAGGCAAAAGCGCCAAAACATCTAAGGGTTGGATGTGCATTTTTGTGTGCTTCGTTACTTCTGCGCTTCATTTAGAAATTGTAACAGATTATTCAGCAGACTCATTTATTCCAGCGTTCAGAAGGTTCACTGGACGTCGAGGTGTCTGCAGAACTCTCCACAGTGATTGTGGCACCACATTTCAAGGCGCAGACACGCTCATCAGACAACTCTTCAAGCAGGGGACTCAACAGTTCAGTCAACTCGCAGCTGTATTTGCAAAGGATGGAACTGATTGGAAGTTTAATCCACCAGCTGCACCACATATGGGAGGAAAGTGGGAAGCTGCAGTCAAATCAGTAAAGTTCCATCTTAACAGAACGATAGGCGACTCACTCTTTACATATGAAGAGCTTTCCACACTGCTTGTCCAGATAGAAGCAGTCCTTAACTCCAGACCACTCGAGCCTCTCTCAGCCGACTCTACAGACATCTCAGCATTGACTCCAGCACACTTCTTGGTTGGTGAACCGCTAGTAACATTACCAGAGCCTTCACTGGAAGATGTGCCAATGCCACGCTTGTCCAGGTGGCAATTTATTCAGCAGCGACTCCAATCGTTTTGGTCAACGTGGTCAAAACAATACCTTCAGCAGCAACTCGCCATTTCCAAGTGGAAACACCCCTTTCACAACATCACAGTCGGCTCACTTGTACTACTCACTGACGAGAGGTTTCCACCAACGAAGTGGCCTCTCGCCAGAGTGATTAAGGTGTTCCCAGGATCAGACGGACTCATCAGAACAGTCAAACTCAAGACAGCAGCAGCAGAGCTCATCAGACCACTCACCAAACTAGTCATCTTACCATACACTCCACCAGCAGAAGATCAGCAAAGGCGTTGCCTCATCAAATTGATCATCAAATTACTCTCATCAGTGCCAGTGGTCCAGTATATTCAGTTGTAGTGTCTTTGGGCGCGAAGCTGAACTGGCGTCGACGCCATAGTGCCTCACGGACATTCACATATACATCGCACCCACGAACAACTCTGGTGTATACTGTGAATGTTGCTATTCACTGTGTTGAGACTATTTTTTTTGGTGAAAAAATAATCATCAGACGATTCATACGTGTACAAACAATTACTGTACAGTCAACTCAAATATATGTAGTGGTTACTAAGTTCTATTGATTATGTTAAGTGTTATTGTTGAATAAAAAACATCAAAACCTAGACAAATTGGTGTTTGTGAATCATTTTTTGGAACCTTCTAGCATCCAACCTTTGTTCTTATTCTGCTCTTAATTCTTACAGTCCACTAGTTTTTTAGTTTGCTCGTCCGGCCGACTCGAAGTCAGAACATTTGGTTCTTTTACGAAGCTGTAACTGTTGTTGGATAAATCTTCAAAAATTTTCTCAGAACTCGAACAATTTACAGGAGGTAACTCTGATACTAAGACAGGTTGATTTATTACTAATTCTTCATTTATCAGTTCCATATCACTTTCATTCAATAGACCATTTTCAGAATTATTTTTTTCACAGAGGAACTTTGCATTAAAAGTATATGTATGATTGATAACATTAATGTTTTCTAGTGAGTTCAAATCATTAACTAATTGATGAGACCTCCGAACTTCATTCCCAACTTGGGAATGAATATATTCCTAGATTTTCATGTTCATTAGCATCTACTATATTATATACTGTTTTGGCTCCTTTAGCAGTTATAACATACTTAGACTTTGGACATAGCGCTAAATTGGTTTCATCACAATTAAAAATCCTGGATGGGTGTATGTTTAATAAATTTTTACTTTCTAAGTGAGTTTTTACTTCATGGAACCACTGTCTTAAATCTTCTTCATCAACTTCATATCTAGCTTTAGTTAAATGCTGTGGTGTACGTTTCGATAATTCAGGATAACGTCTCATGAAAGCTTCATACCAATGACGACCAGGTTTACCATTAACAAAAGACTTACAATCGATGCCTGCTTCTTTAATATACAACTCGACACCTTCTATAATATTTGATTTTCCTACAGGATGGCCTCTTTTTCCTCTATAAATAATCCGATCCACTATACGTTGCTCTACTTCAGCTGACAAAACTGTAGGTGGGCCACTTTTTTTTGCAACAGAATTGGGATCCTTAGATCTTCTAAATAAAGTTGTTACAGGAACATTATGAGCCTTCGACGCTTTTCTCAATGTATCACCTGCCTTGATGGCTGCAAGAGCTTCTTTGATAGCAGTCTCTGAGTAAGCTTTTCTTGTATTTCGACGAATTCTTTTGCGTCTTTTTTTTGTATGACACTTAGAGGTTGGGTTTACTTTTTTCTTAGTCATTCGTGCCATAATTTGATAAAAAAACTAATTTTATGTCTGGAAAAATAATATCAAACGCCTCTTCAGTTATTAGTTTGTAGGTTATATAAATTTCAAGTATAGAAATTCATAATAAAATCTCAACTCACATGTAAGAATCAGGTTTTAACACACAGTTAATACTTCATAATAAAATAAATAAATGATTATTTATCACTTTTTATGTTAAAAACTTAACTCAAAAGAAATTAAACAAAACCTGTTCACACGTTTCATGATTAAGTACAATTTTACCAAACTCGTCCGTATGTATGAAACGCTATCGCGCACTGTTTCATACATTAGGTCACAGTGAAAACTACTGTACCGATTGTGGAACACCTTTTTCAAAAATATATTTTTAAATTAAAAAAAAAAAAATCGTCATTAAGGTGAAACTTTGAAACTTCAACTTACATATGAAACAAAATTGAAATGGTATAATTGAAGAATAAATATTTAAAAGTGATATTTATGATGTCGTCATATTTCGGTGATTGTATCTAGAGAAGAGGAAATTGGTGCCCAATGCGCTGGTTCGAACCTAATATTAATCTTTTAAATAAAATAAAACCTTCTTTTTTAACGCAATCTATACGTTCAAACAGATAAACGCCTGCATAATAAATTGCATGTACTTTTATTTAAAGATTGAATCATGAAAATTAATTAATATGCGTAATTCCTAAAACTGTTTCATAATTAGGACATTGTTCCACGATCGGGCCATTTACCTTAAATAATGAAAATAATGTTCAAACTTGAATTCATTGAAATTCATGTAAATATAAATACTATGTATAGTTAAGATAATTGTATATTAATTATTATTTCAACCAGTTTGTATTTATATTTTGTCCATGATTTGTTTAACCCATCATATGTAACCAATAAATAAAACATAAAAAATTTCATATAATTTTAATTAGTCTTAACTTAATAGTTCCGTTTTTACCTCTATCGGCAGTCCCAAGACTGCCTGAATTTTTTTTTACTGAAAGTGATGCTGATGCTCATGAAGACATTGGTAGAGGTGATCATAAAGCTCAAGTAATAGATGGTACTCTCTTCTGTGCACCGGTTGGTCGCAGATGTCTCAGTTTCGCAGACGAAGAAATGGACTCAAGCGGAATTTATTCAGATCTTGATAAGAGACAAGATGAACTTTATAATCATGAAGAACCACTTAGTGAAGATCAAACAGCTGATACTGGTGATACTCAAGTATCACCAAAATGTCGAGTATCACCAACTCTTAAGCCTGAAGTACCTCAAATTATCATGAATTATTTACAGGTTGTTATTAATAACATTTAACATCTATAAATATAAATTCATGTATCTATTAAATTTATAATTAAGAAATATTTATGTTAAATAGGTATCCAATCAATTAGAGAATTCAGTTGAAGCATCTCCAGAAAAAAAAGATATTACTGTTATACATGTTTCTTCAGCTGACAATACTATTCGATCGAGTGATAAATTATTAAATAAAGTCGACCCAGTGGGCTTGAAAAAATATAAAATGCCGAAGAATAATGTAGCTTAAAAAATAAAGGCAATGATTGAATCTAATGGTAAAGAGGAAGTTAAGGAACAGCGACGAGCTCGAGGTCACCACGGAAGAATGGTCGATAGGACGCGGTCATGAGTAAGATCGAGGCGAATTGTACATAATGGTAAGTTTGAAAAATTTAATTTTACTAAGAATTAATTATAAAATTAAGTGATTCACAACTTTATTCATACCATATTTGAATCTTCTAATTTCAAAGGAGCTTCAATAAGGAGATAAGCATAAGCTTTATGGTTGAATTTCTCAGGGCCTTCCAATACGGCTTTTATGATGTACCTGATTGATCTGAATTTATAGCTAAAACTAGTTGGAACATTTTCAGGCAATTCATAATCCAATAGGTAGAAATTTTCACCAGCCAGAATCGTAATTTCTTTTGTTGGAAAAATCATTAAACGATGAAAACATTTCAACAAAATTTAAATTAATTAGCAGCTTAATCTTGATATGTATAAAAAATATGTTTTGATCATTATTTTTTCCCTCTTTCACATTCATTATCACTCAAACTATCTGTTCCAGCACTCAGAAATAATCTAGAAGCACCTTGTTGACCCATAGCAGTCCTATCCGACTCCCTCACTTTTTTGGTTAAAATGTAACCCCTCCGGAAATTAATCCACTTTGCGGCGCTAGTGTCTTCAGCTTGACGAATAGATGGATCGAACTGCGCGAGAGCATGCGCACTCGACGGGATTTAACCGTTTCAACTAGAAATTTTTTAGCACGTTTTCAGAGATAGGCGGAGCTGCGCAAAAGTATGCGCGCCAAACAGACTTCTACTGGCTAAATTAAGTGGCGCGTTTTAAGAGATTTCTGGGACTTTAAAAATTCATAACTAAACAATTTACAATAATTAAGAAATGAAAATTAGTGACGAACAAAAAAAAATAGCTTATTAAACAATGTAGAGCTCTGAAATTTATTATAAAATAATATAATAATACTTGTTCAATCTGGTCAAAATTTGATTTTACTCAAAAAAAAATTGTCAAATTTCTACTGAGTTTGAAGCCAAAATTTCATTTTTTACAGTCTACATGCTAATGACAGCTCTGATTGCAGTGGTGCAATTAGCATATCCATTTCTTGAAATATTTTTAATAATAAATCAAATTCACAACACTTTTAAATAAATTAGCTATTTTTAATAATAGTATAATTCAAACGAATCACACGAAACAAACACACACGATTCAGCGAGTAGTATATGTGCACAACTGAAATAAGAAGTGACGATTTTTAGCCTTTTTCTGAGGGAAGAAGGATTCTTAGAATAAGAACAATTATTTAAACAATTTAGTTTATTTATTTATAAGATTTAAATTATTATTTTCTTTATGTAATTAAACAAATATATTTCACTTCCACACGTGTAGCTGTCTAGCCTCGAGCCCTTTCTCTCTCCTCTTTTCCGCCACTGCTTACTCTTGGCGCCTCACTCGCCTGCTTCAGGGCTGTACTCGAAATCTTTAAATTTGGCGCCCGAATTCTCGGAGCTGTCACATCTACTCTCCCCCCAGAGACCTGGTTAGTCTCGGTGGAGAAAGTAACGTTTTTCTTCTTTATTTTATATGTTTTTATAGGTTTATCCATACCTCCTTGTTGGTGTGGTCGGATGATATCCTCTGGTTGTAATTGTTGATCATCTTGATTATCTATTTTTGCTATGAAGGCTGGCTTCAACCTATCTACAGAAATCGTCTTCTCTTGTCCATCTATGACTATGACAAATTTTCTATCATCTATTCTTTTTTTAACTAGATATGGTCCCGCATACGGAGGTGAAAGAGGTGGCTTCACGTCACATACACGTAAAAAGACATGTGAACACTCGTAGAGGTCCTTCAAAATAAATACTCTGCTTTTGATATGGTGTGCAGTGGGAGTTGGACGAATTGTTCTCATCAGTTCACGATGTTTTTCGACGAATTTTTCAGGATTTCCCGGCAGGTCTTCATGGACGAAAAATTCTCCAGGAATTCTTAATGTAGTACTAAACAGCAGCTCGGCTGGTGAAGCTTTTAAATCCTCTTTGTATACAGTTCGTAAACCAAGTAATACTGATGGGAGTACATCTACCCATGGAATGTTTGGATGACACATCAAAGCAGTTTTTAGTGTACGATGCCACCTTTCAACTAAACCGTTAGAGGCTGGATGATAAGGTGTTGTACGAATTCTTTTGGCACTGACAGTATTTAGTAAAGCATTAAATAAGGCACTCTCAAATTGTGAACCTTGGTCAGTAGTAATTGTTAAAGGAGTCCCAAATAGACAGACCCAGTTGTTGAAGAAGGCATCGGCGACCGTTTGAGCAGTTATATCCTTGAGCGGAATGGCCATTGGAAATCTCGAGAATCGATCGATGATTGTCAAACAATACTGGTATCCTCTCACTTCCGGTAAATGAATTATATCGATATGAATATGATTGAACCGGTTGTCTGGTACGTCTATTTTATTAGGAATTACTTTATTGTGTCTATGAACTTTGGCACGTTGACATGGAACACATTCTCTTGACCACTGTATAGCATCAGAACGAATTCCTGGCCAAATGAACTTTTCTTTTAATTGTTTACAGGTAGTTCTACCACTGGGATGAGCAAGACCGTGAACTACATCAAATGCCTGACGACGAAGTGAAGCTGGAATATAAGGTCGAAGCGTCACAATATACATCCTTATCTTCTATGACTAGCTTTTGCAGTCTTAAAGACGTTTCATCATTGAGAATCTGTGTTAATTCTTCATCAATCTTTTGTTCTTCACTTATTCTAGTTGCACTAAGTACTGTTGGCATTCCAATTGCGAAAATTCTTGAAAAAGCATCTGCTATTGTATTATCACTACCTTTAATGAGAATTATTTCTGTTGAGAATTGAGATATAAAATCAAGATGACGAAGTTGTCTAGGTGAGGCTTTATCAGATCTTTGTTTAAAAGCGAAAGTCAATGGTTTGTGATCTGTTTTGATGACAAATGGACGACTTTCAAGAATGTGTTGAAAATGTTTAATTGCAGCATAAATCGCTAAAAGTTCCCTATCATAGGTACTGTAGTTTTGTTCTGACTTAGACAGTTTTCTTGAAAAAAACCAATGGGTTTCCATTCATTATCTTCTAGTTGTTCTAATGATGCACCTATTGCTGCGTCTGAAGCATCTGTAGTAAGTGACAAAGGAGCGTCTGGTGATATATAAGCAGAAAGAGTAACTTTCACTAAACTGTCTTTACATTCTTCAAAAGCTTTTGTCGCTTTTTCTGACCACTCAATGATTGTCTTGTCATTTTTCACTGATTTCTTTAAAAATTCAGTTAAAGGTACCTGTTTCTCTGCTAACCTCGGAATGCAACACCGATAATAGTTTATCATTCCGACGAAACGACGAAGTTCTGATACTGTTTTAGGCTTTGGATAATTCTTGATCGCTTCAACTCGTTTTTGAGGAGGTTTGTATCCATCTTTACTTATATTATAACCTAGAAATTCTACTTCACTTTGGCCTAAGTTACATTTTGCAGGATTCAGTCTTAGTTGATGAGCTTTCAGTCTTTGGAATACTGTTTTTAAATGTTTTAGGTGCTGCTCCTGTGACTCAGACATAATAATGATGTCGTCTATATAGCAGAACACGTAATCCAAATCTCGAAAAATTGAATCAAGAAATCTTTGGCAAGTTTGCGCTGCGTTTTTTAAACCAAATGGCATGAATACATACTCGAATAAACCAAATGGGGTTATGACTGCAGTCTTTTCTATATCTTCTTTGTTCATTGGTATTTGATTATAGGCGCGAGCCAAATCCAGCGTTGAAAAGATTGTTTTATTATGAAGTTTTTCAAATAGACTCTGAATAAGTGGTGGGGGATATTGATCTGGAACCGTTTGTGCGTTCAATCTTCTGAAGTCACCACACGTTCTCCATTCTCCCTCACTTTTTTTTACTAAATGTATTGGACTAGCCCACGGGCTTGATGATGGCCGTATGATACCGAGTTCCAATAAGAAGTCAATTTCAGCTTTTGCTGCTTTAAGTTTTTCACCTGAAAGTTTTCTAGGGCGTTCTGCAGTTGCTTGTCCAATAGTTGTGATGTAATGACAAACCGTGGATTTTGTTATAGTATCTGGATTTCTTCTAGGTTGTGTAATCTCAACAAATTCTTTGAGTAGAGCGTGAAAGATTGTCTGACCTGAAACTGTGGAGATACCAGAAACTTCAGGTTGACTCAACATACCCTGTGCTGAAATAGTTGTTTTTGAATCCACTAGTTTTTTGTTTTTTAGATCCACCATTAATTCATAATACACTAGAAAGTCTGCACCAATTATAGGAGCTGCTACATCTGCAATTAGGAAGTACCATTTAAAAGCACGACGCAATCCCAAATCGAGCTCAACTATTTTGTTGCCATATGTTGGAATTTGTGAATCATTAGCTGCAAATAATTTTAAATTTGTAGATTCTTCTAGTTTGCTACCTGGAAATAATCTTCGCGGTAATACAGATACTATAGAACCAGAATCAATTAAGTAATTTATTTTAGTTCTTCTATCTTGGATATGCAGCCTAAGTTCTTTTTGAGGCATTGGTTGTGCACTGTCAATCTCTGCCTCTAAAGTTGACAGATGACTTAGTTTTCCTGTTTTGTTTTTGACAGGAATTTATCCATCAATGGACAACCAAACACGCACCTAGTTGCTGCTTCTCCAAATTTCTTATGATAATAACAGGGTTCAACTATTCCTGGTGTTTTGGAACGAGAACGAGATCTTGATCGTTGGTTGACCATCTTCTCTACCGTATCTAATCTTGCTTTAATCTCATTTGTAAATGAAAGAATTAAATCCTCCAATTTGCTGATACGTTTGTCTATTAAGTCTTCTGACGTTTTTGACTTGGCATTTGCAGCCATAACATAACCATCATTTTGACTTTTCTGATCCATGATATTGTCAGCTACTCGAGCTAAAGTCGCAAGATCAGCATTATCAGTTACTGTTAATAGTTCTCGTACGTGTTGTGGTAGCTTATTTTTCCACATCGAAGAAAGATACTCATCATCAAGATGAGGAGCAAGCTCTCTCATTTTTAATAGTAGTTGAGTTGGTTTAAGTTGCCCCAATTGGAGATCATTTATTAGAGTCTGCATTTGTTTTTCCTTAGACTGCGTGAGACGTTTAATTAGATGATCCTTTAGGTATTCATACTTATTCTCTTCAGGTGGATTTCTAAGAATGTCCGTAGCCAACTCTATTGTTTCTGAGTCGAATGTTCCCACTACAGCATCATATTTCGCTATATCACTTCTGATTCCTTTGGACCTAAATATGGATTCAACCTGTATAAACCATAAATCAGGTTTATTTTTCCAGAAAGCAGGTAATTTGGCCTCAGCGACAGTAGCTACAATTGCGTGTCTGTCCACATCAACAGCTGTTTCTTCTTCTTCACATGCTTCCTTTACTCCCAGATTTAATTTTTTTGCTTTACCCTTAGCTTTGGTTGTTGGAGCTTCTTTTGAAGCACAAGGAGTCTCGTCCTCTTTTACCATTGTACCTGATTTTTTTTCGGTTAACAAAAAAATATTTCTTTGAAAATTGAGGTTAGGTCTCTTAATCCACTTGGATCACGTCGGGGTCACCAATTTTTAGCCTTTTTCTGAGGGAAGAAGGATTCTTAGAATAAGAACAATTATTTAAACAATTTAGTTTATTTATTTATAAGATTTAAATTATTATTTTCTTTATGTAATTAAACAAATATATTTCACTTCCACACGTGTAGCTGTCTAGCCTCGAGCCCTTTCTCTCTCCTCTTTTCCGCCACTGCTTACTCTTGGCGCCTCACTCGCCTGCTTCAGGGCTGTACTCGAAATCTTTAAATTTGGCGCCCGAATTCTCGGAGCTGCCACAGATTGTGATGAACAGTGCCCTCTGACGTAGATTTTGATCTCTCGCACGCAGTTATTAGGAATACACAAAAGAATGATCAAGGATAAGAGAAAAGGTGCAGAAAATTTTTCCAACAATTAACCAAATTAAATGAAAACGAAGAGCTGGTTGAATAATAGTCGAAAAATTACTCCAAAATGAGTCAATGTGAAAGTTGTTTTTTTATTATTAAACTCTTCGCACTGACGGAACACATCAACTATTATACAACCCAATATTGTACGATTTCACCGAAAATGTAGACGCAGACAGTTGGTCCCCACCAACTTCGATCTCCGCATAATACCATGGTCAAGGATTACACATCCTTCAAATGCAGTAAAATGAAAAAAGATTAAGTTATAAAATTAGGCAAACAGACGTGTTCTAGCGTAGTAAAATAAACATATCTGAAAGTATAAAATAATCCTTTGATGTAGGTATAATTATTTTCAACCGATATATTGAATAGAAAGTAAATTTCTGAATTTATAAATTTTTTTTTAGAAATTTTTACCAGCCTGTATAGGACTTTTTACTACTTTTTTTGATAATTTTTACCAGCTAAACTAGTACTTTTTCCTAAGTACTTAGCTATTTTTACTAAAAAAGTTGTTGATTTTTAATTTTTTTGGCTAGTAAAATTTACTCTAAATTGACTAGTAAAAATTGCTAGAAAATTTTTTTATTCATTAGTAGATATGACTTTTAACAATGACGTATTGTTTACAATAATGTAAATTTGTTATAAACAATTACTATTGGAAAGTTCGTATAAACACAGACGAAGTGTGCTCAGACCTATTTTTTGAAGAATAAAATCAAGTTTGCAGAATCTAAAAGGATCACGCTGATCCATCGCCGACTTGTACTTCTAATAAAAACTCACCTTTTTTACCCATAAAATCTGGAAAATCATTGAAATTCGAGGCAGAGACTCTCAACTCCAATTTCAAGGTTTTTTTGAATTTTACCAGTAAAAAGATAATTTAAACTAAAAGTACGAGTCGTGATGTATCAGCGTAGTCTCTTTGGATTCTACAAACTCGATTTTATTATAAAAAAAAAAATAATTATAATTTTGACGTTGTTTAAAAGGGTCATTGTTCCGAATTTTAACAACTAAAATTATGTATATAAAAATGTACGAAATACATATTAAATAAAGTGAAAAAAAAAAAAATAATAAACAAAGATTATTGAGTGATTGTGTTTTCACCTACTTAACCTATCAACCTACTCTACCTGCCAGATTAAAATATCGACTTCAACCAAAATTTATTCGGAAAAAATTATTGACTTTGCGTTCAGATACCCAAGGTCCTCCACAACAGACTAAATCAAATCTTGTTATTAGTCCAGTCAAATGAGGGAAATGGAAGAATTTTGGCTTGCTACGGCCAAAGTAATGATTGATAGATGACTAGATTGGAAATTTTGCGAGGAACATGATGGTGTAGGTCAAAAATGTTTGGCACGCATAGAGGGGGAGTAAATCGCGAAAAACGGCCCCCCATCGAGAATTTCTCGATTACTATCATAGATATAAACAAATGTTTTGAATAAAAGTTGTTCACAATGTAATTTTAATAAAAAAAAGGTCTGAACACTTTTTTTCATATCTATAATGGATAAAAAGTTATTCGCGACTGAAGCTTCACTATTGACAAAAGCTTCAGTCGCGTCTAAGAAAATGAATAAAAAATAATTAACGCTACAAATATCACTTTGTGGCGATTTCTTTTAAAACATGACACACAATTACCTCAATCAATCTGAAAATGGACACGATCTTGACATATCTGAGAACATGTGTGCCAATTGTCGCACGTTTGTGATGACCAGAAGTCATCCATTTAAATTTAAAAAAAATAAAAACATGTATGTCTATTTTCAGATGTGTGAGAGATATAAATTTTTTCTCTCCCAAATAATCAGTTATTTTTACCTGTTTTCATTTTTTTTTAATTTGAATGGATGACTTCCTGTCATCACAAAGGTGCAATAATTTGCATACATGTTCTTAGAGATGTGAAAAACATGTATGTACAGTTTCAGCTTGATTGAGGTAACTATGCGGAGGATATAAATTTTTGTCTCACACATAATTATTTTTTTGCGCTGAAAAATTGGAAAAAAGTGCCGAAAAAAGTATAGCTAGATCGATAGGAAATTTAATTTTCTATCGATCTATATACATGATTATGGGACCTAAAACTGAGATATTTTCTCCAACATTTGAAGCGCGTAGAACTTAGAAAAAATTCTCGCGCTGATAAATTTCAAGCTCGGCAGTCAGAAATACTTTTTAACTATCCAGCATGGGCCTAAAACATCCCCTCTTCACTCACCGTTCAGTTTCCTTGTCACTCTTATGGTTGGAGTGTGCATTTCACTCGCGCTTATGCTTTACAATACTCGGCGCGTGCGCAGACGTTTTGTGGGAGTGCGAGTGAAATAGAGAGATTTCTATTATTCTCTGTCGCATACAATGGCGCCAGAAGAAGAAAAGCGCGCTTGGGCCCCCAAATATTAAAACCTGTCTAACTTTGACACGTGAAAAGATAGAGCAGAATTTTGCATACGTAAATTGTTTAATTTTTGAATTTGCCCATTTAAAGCCAAAAATCGGACTGATCGGTGCATTTTTACAAAAATTAGAGCGATTTAAATAATTCATTATTAATAAAAATAATTTTTTTCCTCTAAGAATATAGTTTCATATCTCATGTTTTAAAAGAAATCGCCACAAAGTGATATTTGTAGCGTTAATTATTTTTTATTCATTTTCTTAGACGCGACTGAAGCTTTTGTCAATAGTGAAGCTTCAGTCGCGAATAACTTTTTATCCATTATAGATATGAAAAAAAGTGTTCAGACCTTTTTTTTATTAAAATTACATTGTGAACAACTTTTATTCAAAACATTTGTTTATATCTATGATAGTAATCGAGAAATTCTCGATGGGGGGCCGTTTTTCGCGATTTACTCCCCCTCTATGCGTGCCAAACATTTTTGACCTACACCATCATGTTCCTCGCAAAATTTCCATCAGTCATCTAGATAGATAGTCATCTATCAATCATTACTTTGGCCGTAGCAAGCCAAAATTCTTCCATTTCCCTCATTTGACTGGACTATAAGCATAGGGATTTACAGTCGAAACGTTGAAAAGTAAATGTTCAGGTCAATCCTACAACATTACCTAACAGTTACCTCTAAAGAGTACCTGAGTACAGCCCACCTGTGATGTATTCGTACATACAGCATAGCTTCACTAACTCAGGCTATGAGAAATAGAAAGTTTGCTGCTACAGGTTTAGTCCCAAAATAAACGTGGCACTGAATGTTTATAAAATAAAAGAAGATTTTAACTTTAATTTGAGTCCAGTTTGAAGCGGTAACTCGATAGGTACGTTTCCTGTCTAAAAAAAAAAAAAAATTTTAAAATGTCTTTCCGAGGTAATGGTCCCATAATAATCAAGGAACTAAATGATTATTTTATTTTACATAATAAGTAATAAATTTTAAGCCTACTTTGAAGCGGTTACTCGATCAAGAGGTACGGTAGTGTCTCGTGCGCCAAACATAAATCGCCGCCACCTAGCCCTTACGTCACGACGAGGCACTACCGTGTCTCTATACAAATTATAAGATGATTTTTGCAGGTTATAATTTTTGAATTAAAAATTTTTTTCTTATTATAACATAAACATGGGCTGAAATTAAGAATTTGCTCGGAAAGCGATCGTTGACTTTCGATTAAGCATACTATGAAGTATTATCATTGCTTCATTCATAATATAGGAAATTGAAAAAATTTCGTTGCGCAAAAATTGAGTAAAATGAGAGTTTTTTCATGGAGCAATCATACGTTTTTTTTTAACAAGTTGGCGATCAGAGTTTTTAATTGCTATGAAGTTCTCTCACTAACAGATTATAAAGTTGGTAACAAGTTAATTTTGCTCGAGCGCGAATATACAAATAATTAAAATATTTTCTGAGCAGATTTATTTTTTTTTTTAAATATTCCTTTTCAGTTAATATGCAAAAAAAATGGTGAAATCTCATCAAAAACAGCCCCCTCCTTCTGGGGTGTACAAAAATGTGCGCCAAACATAAATAACGACAATGATGAAATTACAAAAAGTTCTAAAATCATTAAACGCCAATTATTCAAACCTACGAATCAACAATATTTAAAATGAATTATTTTCTTCGGTTTTTTTTTTGAAAAAAAATTTAGTACGTTTAATGACACAATAAACATAACAACCAGAAATTTGGCGTGACTGTTATTTAGGTTTTATAGAAGCATGAAATTGTGAAAATATTTAAGCCAATTAATAAATAACAGATGGCATGTAGCCTAATGCTATCTTCAATGCAGTGTTTTGGCCTGTTTCCAAAATTTTTCGAGTAGAAGGGCAAACTGAGTGTGAAACTAAGCAAGCCCAATCTAATCTTGCTTTTGTTAGTCCCTTGTAGACTTGCGATAAGGTGGATGGCTGCATTCTCCAAGCTTTACGAGCTACTGACTTCATCACGCCTATATTCCTGTTGACATTTACCTTAATGCTATTTACAAAAAGCTTTCAGTCTAGTTTGGAGTCTATGATTA